ATTTAAACAAGTCTATGACAGCCAAAGTAGGACACATCCCACCTGAATTTAGAGATCATCTGTAAAGCAGATTTGATGCATTAGACACTGAAGACTGAAAACCAAAAGAGTTGTGGGATGACATCAAGAACATCATACAGGAAGAAAGTAAAATGTCATTAAGAAGATGAGAAAGAAGAAAAAGACCAAATGGATGTCAGAAGAGACTCTGACACTTGCTATCCAGCATAGCTAAAGCAAATGGAAGAAATAAGATGGTAAAAGAACTAAAAAGAAAATTTCCAAGGGCAGTTCAAGAAGACAAAGTCAAGTATTATAATGAAATGTGCACAGACCTGGAGTTAGAAAACCAAAAGTGAAGAACATGCTTAGCATGTCTCAAGTTGAAAGAACTGAGGAAAAAATTCAAGTCTCGATTTGTAATATTGAAGAATTCTATCAGCAAAATATTGAATGATGCAGAAAGAATCAAAAGAAGACAGAAGGAATATTCAGAATCACTGTACCAAAAATAAATGGATAATGTTCAACCATTACAAGAGGAACCATATGATCAAGAGCGAATGGTAAAGAAGGAAAATGTCCAAGGTTTATTGAAGACATTGGTGAACAAAAAGCCTTCTGAAATTGATGGAATACAAATAGAAATCTTTCAAATAACTGATGCGGCACTGAAGGCATTCACTCATCTATGCCAAGAAATTTGGAAGGCAGCTACCTGGCTATCATATTGGAACAGATCCATATTTGGGCCCAATCCAAAGAAAAGTGACCCAATGGAATGTCAAAATCATCAGACAATATAATTAGTCTCACATGCAAGTAAAATTTTGCTAAATACAAAAATGGCTGCAACAGTACATTGAAAGGGAACTGCCAGAGATTCAAGCTGGATTCAGAAGAGGACAAGGAATGAGGAATATTATTGCTAACATTAGATGGATCTTGACTAAAAGAAGAGAATACCAGAAAAATGTTTATGTTTGCTTTATTGACTTTACTATGCAAATGCTTTCAACTGTGTGGATCATGACAAACTACGGACAACATTGCAGAGAATGAGTATTCCAGAACACTTAATGGAGCTCATGAGGAACCTGTACAAAGATCAAGAAGCAGTAGATCGAAGAGAAGAAGAGGATACTGAATGGTTTTAAATCACGAAAGATGTGTGCCAGAGCTGTATTCTTCCACCATACGTATTCAATCCGTATGCTGAGCAAATAATTTGAGAAACTGGATTACATGAAGAAGAAAGTGGCATTAGGATTGGAGGAAGATTCATTAAAAACCTGAGATACGCAGATAATATAGGCTTGCTTGCTGAAAGTGAAGAAGACTTAAAATACTTTCTGACTAAGATCAAGGACATATCTTTAGTATGGGTTATTTCTCACTGTAAAGAACACATACATCCTTACCACTGGCACTATAAATAACATCATAATAAATAGAGAAAATATTGAAGTTGAAAAAGACTTCATTTTGCTTGTATCCACAATCAACATTCATAATAGGTGCAGTCAAGAAATTTAATAATGGATTGCATTGGACAAATTTGTTGTACAAGGCCTCTTTAAAGCATTCAAGAGCAAAGATG